AAAAAGCTAAATGTACAATAAATGAAATTCAATGTTTCTATAAAGGTCATGAAAAGTAACTCCAGTGTCCAAGGCTGAGTCAAAAGCAAGTTTACTGCCTCCAAGTTTAGTGCTCTAGACCCAGATCATTTGACATCATGGTGCTATCTTGAAATCTCACCTGCTACTTGCCAAGAGTTCCATGGTCTCCTTCATATGACTTGAAAAGTTGAAAAATATTATCAGGTCAAGATTTCAAAACACAATTTCCTATCATGCTGGCTTCAGATGAAAGATACAGTAAAATGATAACTCAATGGCATAAATATTTCATTTCTTTTGAATTTTTCATAATAAATATACAGCTCACATGAATAATAGAAAGTAGCTCATATACACCATTCATAGTTACATTATGCAATACACCTCCAGTAATCTGTTACACATCTGGACAATGTGGAGGAATCTCAAAAATCTTTTTACAATATGCTCTTCCTCTAAAAATTCTGGCACTGGAATTTTTATTTTTCATACTAATGCTTGTCACAATGAGATCTGATTTTTCTTCTATAAATTTTAATGTACACGACTAATAAACTCCTAGTTTGAAAATCAAATGCTCTAAAGTTGTTGGGCTTATTCATATTTCTTTTATAAAATCATACTTCATTCAGAGACTGCACATTACAAAGTACTCTGTGATTCTGACGTGGAGATGCAGAGAGATGGAAGTGGTGGCAGACCAAAGAAGGGACATTCATTTCAGAAGTAAATGTCAACCTTTCCATATGAGCACCCCTTCCCCCCTTTCCCCAAACTCACTGTAAAATGCTGCCAACAACTTTCAAATTTCATTTATATATGTGTGTGTGTGTGTGTGTGTGTGTGTGTGTGTGTGTGTGTAGTTGCTCACTCCCCACCATTAAGGTTCAACAGGTTGAAGCAATGAGAAAATTCTGCACGTCTATACTTTTCTTGATCAGCTCCAACTGTATCATGAAAGCACTTAAATGATAACAGAAAACGATATTCATCAATACAAACACAAACATATTGATGTGTATATATATATGTATACATAAATACAAATACACACACATATGCACATGGGGGGGACAGGAAGGGGGCATTAAAGCTTTTTACTCCAGTTGGTTGTCATTCATGTGTGAAGGCTACAAAAATACATTTGAAGAATATGTTGGGCTCAGCAAAAGAGAGGCACTCAGCAACTCAGAGAGACTCTGTCTCTAAATAAAATATAAAATGGGGCTGGGGATGTGGCTCAGTGGTTGAGTGCCCCCGAGTTCAATCCCCACTAGCCAACCCACACACACAAAAATAAACACGTTGGGCCACAAAGCAAATTATCAATCATTTTCTTTTATTTTAAAATATGTCACTTTACTGTATTCACTGTTACAGGGTTTTCACAGACATTCCTTCACAGGTGATCATATTGAGAAAGTTCCACTGTATTCCTACTTTTCTGATGTTTTTATCAAGAATGGATGGGTTTTGGAAGGCAGAGCCAATCTTGCATAGGGGGGATAAATCCCATTTGGTTGTCAAGGGTAATTTTTTATATTTTGTTCTATTCAGTTTTTCTTGAGGATTCTTAGATATATATTCATGAAAAACACTAGATCCAATTTTTGTTGAGAATTTTTTTACTACATTCATGACAAACATTTCTTGTAATGACTTTTTTTCTGACTTGGGTATCAGAATGGTACTGGCCTCACAGAATGAGTTAAGAAAGATCCTTCTGCTTCCACTTCTGGGAGAGATTTGAAGACTGGTATTATTTCTTCCCTAAATGTCTACTGGGTTTTACTGATGAAACCATCTAGGAAATATTTCTTTGGTTTTGGAAGATTATTTAAAATTTATTGAAGTTTTATAAATAAAGAGCAATTAAGGTTGTCTATTTTTTCCTTCAGTGAGATTTTGTAGTCTATTCTTCAAAGAATTGGTCATTTCATCTAAACTACCACGGGATGGTTCATAATAATCCTACACTATGTTGTCATGTCCCAGGGATGAATAGTGATGGACCTTCTTTAATCTATGATATTGATAATTTGTTTCTTCTCCCTTTTTTCTTGGTTAGCCTAGCTAGAGATTTATTACCTTTCATGATCTTTACAAATAGCAACTTTGGATTTTGGTGATTTTTCTCTAAAGTTGTCCTGTTTTCTATTTCATTGATTTTTGCTCTAAAGTTTATTATTTCTTGGCTTTTTTGGATTAAAATGCTCCTCTTTGTCTACTTTCCTAAGATAAAAGCATGTTAATTTTTTAATTTTTTAGTTGTTGGTAAACCTTTACTTTATTTACTTATTTAAATGTGGTGCTCAGAATTGAACCCAGTGCCTCACTTGTGCTAGGCAAGCACTCTAGC